TCCCACAGCCCGAAGGTGGATCCGCCTGTAGCCGAGCGAGGCTGAGGAACCCGACCAGGGGKGCAGGAGAGGACTGGGGCTGCCTCAGTTTCCCCTCCTCGCCCCCCTTTTCCCCTCCAGGTGTCCAGAGAGGCTCCGTCCTGCCCTGACACCAAATGGGGACGGGTCCAAACGTTGTGCCACCATCCCTGCGGGTGCCATCCCTGTGCCCGGAGATCCCCTGTGCCCAGATTGCCCCCTGCCCACCCGAGGCAGAGGCCAAATCCATCTGTGCCGGGGTCCCAGCAGCAGGAGCTGACCCTTGGGGGTCCCCTCATTCCCGGGGGGGCTCGCTGCCTCAGAGCCCCCACCCCCAGTGCAGGGACCACGGGGACCCTCCACCCCGCGCTCGACACTTTGACCACTGATGTGAACACTAAGTGCCAAAAAAAAACAACAAAAAAAAAAGGGACCAAAGCCAGGCTTTTGGGGGGGACACTTTGACCCCCCCTCCCCGTGCCCCCTCCCCTCTACAGTGACTTTTTGTACATGTGAAATATATGGAATCTTTTACACGGCCACTGCCTGATTTTGGGGAGGGTGGTGGGGGGCGCCGAGGCAGTTCAGGGGTCTGGGGTGACCCCCAGATCAGCGGTCCCATGTCCTGGGGGGGAAGGAGGGGACACACAAATATGCAAGGACCAGATATTTGGCAGAGCTTTGCAGTGCTGTTATTAAAGCTGTGGGATTAAGGAGAGGGGGGGAATTGCTTTTGGGAAGAATTGGGAGCTCCCACACATCACCAGCCCCACTCCGGTGTGGGGTGACCCCAGTTCACCCCATTTTTGGTGGCTGTGGGGGATTGGGAACAGATTCGAGGCWGGGAGGGGCTGCAGGGGGTGAAGGATGAGGTTCCAGGAGTAAAGGAAAAGGGGCAGGATGGGGCCAGGAGGGCAGAAAGGGCTTGTGGAGGTGGAATGTGGCTATTTGGGGGGCTGGGAGGGGCAGGAGGGGACCCCAAACCCCTCAGCAGCCGCACCAGGGCCYGGCCTCCCTCGCTGAGCCCCACCAGGCCCAGGGATTAGCCCTGAAACAGGGAATAAAAGTTTCCCCTAATCCTCTCGGGGGGATTACCAGCACTGCCGCGCCCAGGGTGGGATCCGGCCCGGCCTCGGCCCCCCCAGTGCCGCTGCTGACCCGGGACCTTTTAATCCA